TTTGGAAGCGGTTGAACCTGGGGTTGAAGGAGATGTTGTTGTGGTTGTCATATATTCTCTTAACGGTTTTTGGTTAGTTTTTATTTAGCATTGAGAAGCGGTTTTACTGACCATTGGTAATTGCTGAGTTTGTTCTAAGATTGAAAACTTTTAGAGAAATGTTCGTTTGTCAGTGGAACTCCGGTACCGGTAATAGGGCCTGGTTAGTTTTATTTACAGCGATAGTAAATTAACTCCTATTTCCATATACAACTTCATTGTTGCTACTTCTATAGTTGTTGACCAAATACTCTTTGCTGCAGATTTCTGCAATTATCGAAACTCTGGTTATTATTCACTTGGCTGTTCATCATATTATGTTATGTGTAAATCATCAGTTGCTGTACTGTTGCAATGCCCTGATGATCTTTACTTTGATGACACTTTGTTGCAGTGTCTACCGAAGGTAATAACTTTTTTCTAGCGAAACGCTGACATAATAGCAAGACTGCAGTGTGACATTAAATATTCAGTAGTACCGTATTAAATTTTAGTCAGTAGAAGACTGGTGGGATAAACAGAAGTGAATAAAGAGTCGTAGGCAGTAAGTTTCATCCTGCATATCAGAAGTATGATACAACTAAAAGAAAATGGTTTACAATACTTCATGGGTTCTTTTTCCATGCTGATTGATTTAGCTATCTTCATTGTTTTTCTTAACTTATTTATTTGGATTAGAAAAGGAATATTTGTTTTGAACAAAATCCAGGCTGCAAACTGGGAGTCATAATGTGGAAACATATTTCAATCTCATAGCAGCATAGTAGGGATGTGTGAGACAAGGACTTATGAGATGCTGCTTTTTTCAGTTCCAAGTTCGCGCATGCGTGTTAACGACAGCTGCTTTACGTGTCCCTGTAACAGAGTTGAGTGTGATTCCTTCTGGTAATGCTGCTTTCAGCCTCACTAACCTCTTCAATAAATTCATAAAACTAAGCTAGAAATAGGAAAAAGTTTTAAGATGTTTTCCTTAAATTATTTTGGGAAATACGATATGGCCTTGAAAGGACCGAATGAAGTGTTTAAAAGTTGAGCAGAAAAGTTTTAAAGAGTACGATGTTCACTTCGCTGATAAAGTCGGAGATTTCTGTTGCCCAGACAGTTTAGTTGCACAAGTGATTGATTACTTGTATGATATTGCTTCAGGGTTCACCTGCGAAGGTAAACGAGATGGAGTTTACAAACAAAATTGTACGAATCTGTTTGTCATGTGTCAAAATGAAGATGCAACGTTCCTTCGCTGCCCGGAACAATTAATTTACGATGGAGTTACTGCACAGTGTGCGAGAAAAGTAGAGTTACTTTTTTCCGTTGAATAATATTTTTGAAATGGTTGCCGTTTATAACCGGTTTTTGTTTCAGGTAATCGGCTGTGAGGATAAGCCAGTGGCAACCACTGAAGTTAGGAAAATCCCAAAAGGTAGTCCTTTTAATCCTTTTTTTCAAACAATAGCTAACAACTACATTAATATAAAAAAAATCATTTCCAATTCAGCATTTTCGTGCAAGAAAGGAATAAGCAAAGCTTACGAAGGGGTTGGTGAAGGATTTGTGATTAAATGTACTGGTGAAAATGCATACCTTTTCCGCTGTCCTCAAAATACGATGTTAGATCCAAAAACGATGAGCTGTATCACAAACAACCTCAGTAACCAGGTAGTCTTTTGGTTCAGTTAAGTGACTTACATCTGTTATGTTAAGATTTATTTCTCACTTCAACACTTTTGACTTTAGCGTATTTCCGACTTCTATGGGTACTATCCGATTGGGAAGTATATGGTAGATCCCTTTGGTAAAAACTTTTACAGTAACTATTTTGATGCAGCTAGCAGTATCATAGTCCCCGTCCCATCACCGCTTGACTTTTATCCTAGTATGTCTTATACAGTGGCTCAAAAACACAACATTCCTTCAACACTAGTAGTCCAGTGATTTACTCAGCACGTTTTTCAGCCTGTTCTGGTATGTCGTATGGTATTCACGGCCATCAGTGTAGTCCTGATTATGTCGTTGCCTTACCAAACTACTGTTCTAAAT